CTCTTGAATTTTTCCCCTAACCAGTATATAGTGGCCTTCTTTATTTTGCTTGATGATTTTTGGTTTGAAGTTGAGACTGTTTGAGAATAGGATTGCTACCCTGGCTTTTTTCTGAGGAGCTGGGTCATGTAGTATTGTGTTCCATCCTTTGACTTTCAGCCTATGAATGTCTTTATCAGCTAAATGTGTTTGTTGTATACAGCATATTGTTGGATTTTGTTTCTTAATCCACTATGCCAGTCTATTTCTGTTAATTTGTGAATTGAGTCCATTTACATTGATGGTTATAATTGAGATATATTGAATTATGATTGACATGTTATTTACCTGTTGTTGTTTACTCCTTTTTCTCCTGTGTGGCCCAGTAATTTTGGGTAAGTTAGTGTAAACTCTTTAGGCTTCTAGAAATTCAAGTAGTGTCTGCCTCATGGAATTACTGGGAGGATCATAGCAGATAGGATTTCTGAAAATGCTGATCAATCATCAGCACTAAGTATTTTTTAAAAATTTTATTTATTTGTTGTGTGTGTGTTTGTGTGTGTGTGTGTGTGGCCAGCTCAGCCCACCAGGGGCCGGGGCTGACTGGCATGTGGTGCTGGGCGATTGAACCGCGGTCCCTGTGCTTTGCTAAGCTTGTTCTAAGTAGGTGCTTTAGACCACTGAGCCATCTCACCAGCCCCAGCACTAAGTATTATAGTTTACCATTTGATCATCTCTGCGTTGGTGTCCTCATTTTCAAAATGGGACAGAATATTAACCACGTTTGTGGCTGTTATAAATATAAAGTGAAATAGGGTACAGATAAAATATCTACCAAACTATAATAAAAATGCTGAGAGACAATAACAAACATTTACAAGAATGAAGAGAAATAAGGATGCTTGTATCCTGCTAACAGGAGTATAAAATGGTTCAGTGACTTTATGGAACAGTTTTCCAGTTCTCAAATTTTGAGAGTTACCAACAGGCCCAACAATTTCCTAGATATATACCCAACAGAAATAAAACAAAATATTCATGCACAACTTTTACTGCCAATTAATAGAAACATTATTCCTAATAGCCAAAAAATGAAAACAACTGAAATGTCCATAAACAGATAAGAAGTTAAAGAAAGGATAGTATGGTCAATTAAGTGAAATATTATTAGTCCATAAAGGAGAATGAAGTATTGATGCTTGATAGAACATGCATGAACCTTGAAAATGTGTGTTAAGTGAAAGAAGTCAGCCACATAAGATCAAACATTATATGCTTACATTTACATGAAATTTCCAAAGTAGACAAATCCACAGAGATAGAAAATAGATTAGTGGTTGCTTGGGTTTAGGAATGCAGAGTGATTTTTAAACAGGCACATATTTCATTTGTGGGTTAAAATATTCTAGAATTGGGAAGCAATAATTGTTGTATAACCTTGTGAATGTACTACAACATCTCCAAACTATATACTCTAAAGGGGTGAATATTGTGGTAGGTAAGTTACATCTCAATTATGCTAGTACAAAAATAACAGCAACATAGTAACCTTAACTTAATAGATGGCACTGTTATCCGTTAACATCTTAGTTCTTAACTTCAGCAGAACAGGCTCCTGAATAGATGGTACCGAGAACACAGAGACATGGTTAGGGAAAAGGATAAATCTAAAGTCTGGGGTATGAGAGGATGTGTATGCAGAAGTATGTGGGAGAAGCTTGGAGTTTCACTTGGAAGGAAAGGAAACACAGGCTCTTAAGATTAGCAAAAGAGTGATACAAATGTCATTTGCTTTGAATTTTCCAGAGAGTCTCCCAGATTATCTTTTATATTCTGGACTGGAATAATAGATGACAGACATTCTGACATTTACAGCTGTCCAGAAGAAAGGGCAATATGTGGCATTAGGCATAAGTTAAAAAAAAAAAGAACACAGCTAGGAAATCTGAGGTTAAGTGAGTGTGATTTCGAAAGGTAGAAAGAAGGCAGTCTGTGCAGGACAGGTGCATTTATCTAGAAGACTCTAATAGTTAATCTCTGGGTCAACACATTTAGGTCAGCCCTATCTTGGCTACAGGTGGAATGAATTTAAGGGATTAGAAGTGTGCCTCTAAATCCTAATCCAGGTCTTGGTCTAGGGATACTTAAGAGTGATTTTAAAAAAGGTTGACCGTCCCTCTCAATTATTTACCATATTAATGGAATTTCTTAATAGACTGGAGTCCTTGACAGGATTATGATGATTACAATGGAAATGGACACTCTGGGGTAGCTGTGCTAGAGATCTGCATGCACAGTCAGCAAATTGAAGACACTTGAGCAGTGAATCGCATGGTAAGTAGGTGGCAGTGCTTCTTTATAAGAAAGGTGGTAATAGGAATAAAACCATACCTTAGTTGTTAACTCAGACTCTGACTGAGATGCATTAATTTTACTGTAGTGTATGGTTAAGAAAGGTTTAAAGAGAATGAAAGGGAGTAAAAGAAGAAGAGAAAGAGGGAAAAGAGCCAACCACTTTTAAATCCAGATTTACTCTTAAAGGTCCTTCTTAACGCTTTCCTTTAGCTTGCCTCATTATTCTTTTTACTTCTTCTTGGTGTCTTCATGCAAGCGTTAACTTGATACAGGCTGTAACTGCAAAGATCAATCTTCCATAGAAGTCCTATGCTTGACAAGATAGGCTGAGAAGCCATTTCCCTAAGAGCTATTTGTCATAGTCTTTCTTTGTATATGTTTAAAGAGTAGTGTTTTCCTTGTAAAACTAGGCTTTCCACCAGGTTGTGAAAGTTACCTGAAATGAAATCATGCATCCTTATGTGTTAGTCACTTTCCATGGAAGCCTGATCCCATGCAGGTGTTCATACCTGAGTTACATAGGTAATGGCCCAGAATACAGTAGGTCAATAGTGTTCTATTTCCAAAATTTTATATCTGGATATTTCATTTTAGTTATGTCCGTATTTCCTATTAATTCTAGAGAACTTCAGCTGGCACGTTTTGAAGGCAGTAGAAAATATCTTTTACATATGAACATTATAAATTACTCTTTAAATCCACACTGGCAGGTGAAAGTTTAGGGAATCATTTCTCCATTCCTCCCTCCTTCCTTTCCTTCCTTCTTTTTTAAGAAAATAAATTTCCTTTATAAAATCTTATGTTGGGGGAATCAAGAATAAATCCTACAGCAGCATATATATTTATTTTTATTTTCTATACTTTTTTGTGGAAGCGGGAATTGAACTCAGGCCTTTATGCTTGCCAGGCAAGTGCTTATTCTACTGAGCTATCTCCCTGGCCCCACAACATATATATATATTTCTATTCTCTAGGGAGTCATAGCAGTTTGAAGTTCCACTTAATGCAGGACATAGATAGAAGAAAGTGTGTACAGCCAATCCTTCAGCTTGGACGATTGTTTATCTCTCATTTAACACAGAAGAGCAGCAACAGAGAAGGAATGAATGCCAGGGGGCATTTTCTCATATACACTTGAAGAAGAATATATGTGACAAATATGTAAATTTGGGAAATGCTTTTAAAAAGCAAAAATTTCAGAATTTGAGGATGTTGGTTGCATCATGTTTGGGAAGAATGAGCTGAAAAATAACATTAAAATTCCAGGCTTATAATTAGAATAGACAGCTTATCACTTTGATCTGGAGGGTTGTAGCTAAAGATTCCTTCATTTTTCTATTCACAAAATGACCCTTTTCCCTTTGCTGACCTGAACCTAACATTTGAAATTATTATACTGTTAGAGACTAATTACTCTGGCACAAATATGGCCTCACTCCATTAGAAAAATACACTATAGGTTGGGAGGAATAGAATGATTATTATCATTCAGATTTAAGTGCAAATTATTTAAAGAGCCATTTTCCTCCTCTACAGTTGTTTTTTTACTCCACTAATGTAGGGAGCAGAGAGAACTGGGTAGGCTAGAAGTTTGCAGGCAAACTTTACCTGCTCAATTTTTGCAAAATGTGCATCCTGACTAAAGCATAAGATAAAACCTTTTTAAGAGCATAGCAATTTAAAAATTTTCACTTGTGCTCAACATCTCTTCTCCACTATTTAGTCAACAAATATTGGATAAGATTTATTATGTAACAGGTACCGTGCAGGGCCCTATAGATAGAATCATGAGCAAATGTAAGCAGAAAACTTACAAATGAACTTGCATATGCTATTACGAACTTGCATATGTTATTACTTTCTACATGATTGCTTTTTCTGTTGAGTTTTCTTGGCAAGGCCCCTTATACTCTTCTTCATTGTTTTTGGTTTCACTCCTACACATACTAGGTTTTTATATGTATTTGTTAATAATGATGATAACTAATGGTTTTGGCATCCAGGTTTTCAGCATACCAAAACTCCAGCATCGAACGAGATAGGGAACTTCATTTCATAGGTACTTGAAAGAGGATTCTAGGTCAAAAGTAAAAACAATCAGAAGGTGGATCTATTAGAGAGAAGAAAATAGAAAGCACTTACAGATATGTACTCTAGTAAAATGTTAATAAGAACAGCAAAGGCTGAGAAAGGTCCAGTGAATTCAGAAAGCAGTTTAACAGTACAGAGAAGTACCCACCTAGAAGAATACAGGAGTGAAGGCCCAACGTATGTCAGAGAAAAACGGGACTTGTAGATCCTATAGTTCAACTTAGGGAAACAAAAGTGAGACCTAGAGGAAGGCTCTAAAGTCATAGGTTGAATCAATTGGAAAGTTCTGTCCAGGACCCTAGCCTTCTGCTTATCAATGCCATCCTCTTTTCAAACAGCAAGGGAGAACCAATATTTATTAAAAGACTAATGTGTGCTTAGAAGTTTGACTTACATAAATCTTTATCTCATAAGGCTTAAGCTACATTTACCCCTGTTTTTCAGATTGGGCAATTGAGAATTGGAAATATTATTGCTTAGGATATAACCCAAGACTTTCAGGAGATTTATACTGAATATGATGTGACTAGTGGCCATCCCCATTTGTGCCAGACTGTGACTTGAGTCAGGAGTAAGCGGGCTGTCCCAGAACAAGGCTTAAAAGCTACATAGTGCCAAATTCTTTCCAGTTGGATAATAAATTTCTGGGAGCTCTTCTCAATATATTGTGTCCCTCCACTTCTTTACATACTTTATTCTCTCTCTGTCTCTCTGCCTCTCTTACGCTGTCTCTGTTTGTCTGTCTCTGTATCTCTCTCCTTCTCTCTTTTTGAGACAGTGTCATGCTACGTAATCCTACCGAACTTAAGCTCACCATGCAACCCAGGCTAGCCTTGAACTCATAACAATCCTCCTGCCTCAGACTTCTGAATGCTGGTGTTACAGTCAGGCCCCACCACACTTAGCCATAATTTAACTTTTATGGGAAACTAAGGAATTATTTTACAATACAACCAAATCATTCAAATTCAATTTGGGTAGCATAGAAGTATAATAATGGTAGTCTCAATAATTTTATAGATTAGAGGCTGTCTATAAGCCTTTTAATACTGCACTACTCCATCCAGGGTACAAATCTTTGTTCTCAGCCAACTTACTTTATTTCTGAGTATCAGGTTCTTCATCTATTAATAATGGTGGTAATACCTATGCCTAAGAGCTGTGAAGAGCTTTTAGTGACAAATGCACATTTATTTCAAAGTTTTTACATAGTATTCATTTATTAGTTCTTGTCAACAGAAGAGGACTAGACATAATGACCAGCAGAATAGCAATGATTAACTCCAATGACCACAGTGTATTCTTTCTTTTTTGTGATGAGTATTGAACCCAGGACCTTTATCCTGAGCTACATCCCAAACCATTTCAAAAACTTATGTATTTTTATTTTTTGTCAGCATGTGTCTGCAGTATATAATGTTTTCATAACTCGTGTGGAGTTGGCACATGTACAGAACACATTTTAATTCCTTTTGTAATCCCTTTTACCTTCTTGCATATCTTGATTACATTCCCACTTGAGACAGATCTATCTCCATAGTTCCTGTTATTTATCTTTTATTTTGTTCTTTATTTATAACTTGAGTTTCTCATGTAACAGGAAACCATGCAATATTTCAGTTTATGTATCTAATTTATTTCATACAAAAAAGTGTATACCAGTTTTATATATATCAGGAACTCTGTATACTTTACCCTTTATTATTTCAAGTGATAATTTATAAAAGCACAGAGATTCTGTGAAAGAAACTATGTGTTTCAGGCAGATGAAGAAGTTCACTTTTTTAGTTCATTTTGTGTTGCTATAGCAAAATAGTGTACTGAGACTGGGTACTTCGTAAAGAAAGAGGATTATTAATTAAGTACATAGTTCTAGAGGTAGGAAAGTTCAAGGTCACACTCATAAAACGACTTCTGGTGACGGTCTCTTTACTACATCATAGCATGGCAGATGGCATCCCACGGCAGTAGCACGTGTAAGAGCAACGAGTGAGTATGTGTGGAAAGTAGGTCACATGGCAAGAGAGACTGAGGAGGCCCACTTTATAAGAACACCCACTATGGAGAAATAACCAACATCTGTTACAGTGAGAAGTTATTCCCTTGAGACAAAAATGTTAATCCTTTTTAAAGGCCCAATGCCCCCTCAAAGTCTCACTACTGCTTAATATCATTCATTGGAGATCAAGACTCAAGAACAGTTTTGGCACGCACAAGCCATTTCCAAACGATAGCACTTTACTTGCGTTATTGCTGTTAACAGGACACTGTTCCACATAGAGATTTGCTGCTGTCATTGTCCATTCCTATGCCTGAAAGGAGTTTCTGTATGGACACAGATACCATGAAGTTTAATATCTTGGATGCACAAAAGACCAAAAACATGTCCCTCCCTTGCTGACTCAGAGAACAGGTTTCTCTGGGAGGTTTTTAGCTCTCAAGGTCACACTCATAAAACTACTTCTCTTGCCAGAGAAAGCATTTGGGTTGAAGGAAGGTGGGAAGAGAAGTGTGAGGCTCTTGATGACAGCTCAGTTTGTAGCCTGTACTTCATACGTTATTGTGTATCTTACCTTTGTGCCTTCAAAAGTGTACACAACAGATTATTTTTTTAAGAAAGAGTTTGGACACTTAGAGAATCTAGGAATAAATTTGGGTTGCTTATGCATACAATCAGCAAAGAACCATCTTTCTGCAAAAGTAAAGTTAGAAATTTCACTGTTTCCAATTGACACACTTCTCAGCCTCTAGCTCATGTTATTTTGTGTGATATCTTGTTGCCCATTGTTTTGGTCTTCATTTAAGTCAGATTTTACCCATGTATGAATGTTAGCACATTCTATGATGAGTGTTAAGATCCCTTAAGCATGGTCCAGATTGATCTCCAGCTGTTTTTTTAAAGCATGGGTGAAAGTCAAGATCACAACAAATAGGACTGGCCCAGAAAGAATTGTTGCTGGCAATCATTTGAGATTGACCAGTGCACACCAGTGTGGATTATCACCCTTAAGAGAACGATGCTGTTATTTTGATATTTGATTAGAATTAAGGATTTATTTAAGGATTTTCCTCATTAACATCTCTCCCAGGCAAGTAATTCTTATTATGTCTACTGAGCTTATTCCTGACCTTAGATTCACTTATGCATTCATTTTACAAACATTTATTTGACGTATATTATGTGCTGGGCATTTGGCTGGCTTGCATCTCTAGGAGTTTCTGGTTCATTGGGGTCTGTTTTCCATGGAGAGCTGCCTTCATTGTTGATCACTTCCTAGTGTTGAAAGTATGAGATCCTATAAATAAAGAGACAGTAAACAGTTTTGTATTTTTGTCACAACATAGACCAGAAATATAGACGTTTTATAACCGCAGTGATACCTTTTCTAGTGCACACATAAATATGAGGCACAGATGGGGACACAGTGAAGTCACCCTGGAGGTGTTTGCTCTTCTACATAAAATAGCGAACACCTCAGCTGGGTTTTGAAGATAGAATTCACCAGCAGGGTCTGGAAGAGGACTGAAGAGAGTTTCAGGTAGAGAGGATGAATATCCCAATTCCTTGGCTTCCCAGATGGTGGAATACATGCCTGGAGAACTACATGAGATTCATTGTAGCTCAAAGATAGAACACTGAAGAACGGAGTTGTAGAGAAAGGCATGAGCCAGGTAGGCAAAGGCTTTGCTTTTGTCATCTTGAAGAGTTCTCTACTTGTGCTGACTCTATTTCGTTAATTACTATTTATTTTTTGCTAGTTGTAGTTCATCAACTTGCATCTTACTCTCTGACTCTAGATCCAATGGGAACCTTCTTATCTTCAGCTTACTTGGCTCATCAGCAGAGTGTAATGTTGAAATACACTTTCCATCCTCTACTTTCATTTTCCTTAAATTATAAAATACCACTATCTTCTGGATTTTGCTGGTTTTTTTTAGGGCTAGTCAGTCTTTATGTGTGCTTTCTCTCTGACTGATGGGTAAGTGTTATGGCTTCTCAGAGTTTTGTCCTTGATATTTTTAATCTTAGGGGAATTAACCTTCATTTGTTAAGCTCCTCACTACTATTTTCCTCATCTGTCATAATTTCTCATAAGGCTTACTACATCCATATGCATAAAATGGTCTCTCTGCCTCTAGTTTTCCCCCTGCCAACCCATTCTTCACACTGCTGTTAGAGTGACCCTTTTACATGGAAATCTGATAATACTATTTCTTCACTTGAAATCCTGTTTAAGGATTAAATCATGGTATCTTGGACTCTGGGTGATCTGATCCTTTCCTTGACTGATAACAGAGACCCAAGCAGAACAAATGTTTTGGGATTCTGAAAATCTAGGTACATATTTTTTGAATTTCTGTATCTTTCTGCATATTGCCTTTTCTGTCTGAAAGCCTCTTAGTACTAAACCCCCATTGCAACTCCATTCACTTAGCTACCTTTTAGAAATTTAATTTTTATTAGTATGGGTTTGGAATGTGTAATAAGTACATTCCTCATGAGGAATGGGTGCCTGTGAATATTGTATCTTGATCATTTTGTGTTCTTCCATCTCCTCCATCCCCATATCCCTTTTCATTGGTACAGAACTCTACCTCCCTGTTTCTCATCATCTTTCATTTATTTTGATCTTTGGATTATTTATACATTTTCCCTCATATTAGACCTAGAGTTACTTCCCCCCTTGTCTCTTTTCTCTTCTCTCTCTTTTCTTTCTGGGTTCAGATAATTCTTCCTGTTTTTTGTTATCTGAGTGACCTCAATCAGAACACATTTACTATACATTACCATTATCTGTTTCCATCTGTCTCCAGGAGGGCAGTGTGAGGTAGAAAATGGGTATATTTATGACTATAATAATAATAATAATAATAATAATAATAATGTGACTAATACAATGCTAATGGCCTGCCAGGCCCTGATGTAACATTGTTGTATGGTAATTCATGCAGTCTTCGCAATATATTGTAGCATGCATAGCTGTGCTGAAGTTAAATTGATAGGAGTTGGTGATGGATTGAATGTGGAGGCAGAGAAGAAGGAGTCTCAGTAGTTCCAAGGTTTCTGATTGCAGCAAGTGGGCAAACAGTGTGTAGAGGTAACATCTACTGAGATGAGGAGTACAGGAAAGCAGTTTTAGTTGGGCTGAGGGGAAGGAAATTTTCAATTTGGAGGACTGCCTTTCTTTTATAATGTATTTCCCAAAGCTTCAGAAATAATGTCAGTAACAAATTTTTCCTTTGATTGACAGGCATTTGGAAATACCACTGTCTGTCTCAAGAGAAAAGAATAATTGTCCAGCAGCTCATTATTAGCTTTCGCGAAGCAGGAGGGCTATGTTCCTGGGACTCTGGCCTTTTTCTTGCCTTATGCTTTGGTGTGCGGTTCCCAGAAGACTGTCAGGATGCCACGGCATTGCATCTCCCAAACTCCAGTGGTGCTTGTGTCTGCTGTCTCTTACATCTCTTCTGCAACAGGTCTGCACAGTCCCCTACAAGATAGGGGTGGTAGGTCCTTGGACTTGTGATCCGTTGTTTTCAAAGGCTCTGCCTGAGGTTGCTGCTCGGTTAGCAATTGAGCGAATCAACCGGGACTCATCTTTTGATCTGGGCTACTCTTTTGACTATGTGATTCTCAGCGAGGACTGCCAAACTTCGAGGGCCCTCTCCAGTTTCATTTCCTACCACCAGATGGCCTCAGGATTTATTGGACCTGCCAACCCAGGCTACTGCGAGGCAGCCTCGCTCCTGGGAAACAGCTGGGACAAAGGGATTTTCTCTTGGGCTTGTGTGAATTATGAATTAGACAATAAAAATAGCTACCAGACCTTTTCTCGGACACTCCCTACTTCCATTCGGGTACTCGTAACTGTCATGAAGTATTTCCAGTGGGCTCACTCTGGAGTCATTTCCTCAGATGAAGACATTTGGGTGCATACAGCCAATCGAGTTGCAAGTGCTCTTCGGAGCCACGGCCTGCCTGTAGGGGTCGTCCTGACCACAGGACAAGACAGCCCAAGCATTCGACAAGCTCTCCAGAGGATTCGCCAGGCAGACAGAATTCGCAGTGAGTGTTTGCTTGCTCCAGGCTAAGGTTTAAGCGTGGCTTCAGTGAAAGATAAGAAAATCTCCAAAAGGATTTCTGCCCTCACACCTAGGCTAGCATATTCCCCAAAGTTGTTTTATTCCATTTCCCTCCTTCACTCACCCTCAGACTCCAAGACTCTCATTTCCACCTTGTCGACTCATCAGAAGTAAAAAAGCTCTGTGGCTCTAACACATGTGGATACCACTACCTGCTCTCAGTACCAGGGTAGGGGTGAATAGCACCAGAGTACTTTAACCACACACTCTCTCTGTCCTTAGGACTGTGATACTTTCACAAGAACTAAAGGAGGATGCTCTATAGCTTTGTTTTGAGTAGAGAAAAAAATGGATTTATCTATTCTAGTCCCCGAGGAGAGATTTAAGGTGGACCATTCTGTAAGAAATCTTTAGCAAGGTAAAGTTGGACCATTCTCTGAGAAACCCATTGTTATGTTAATCCTAGAAAAAATGGATTTTTATTTTTACTTTTATCTTTACCAAGGTAAAGGAAGTTTACATTTATCTTAAACTTCCTTCTAGGCACTTTTCTTCACAGGTACTTAGTGCCCTTGTGTTATCACATCTCACTTAGAAACTATCTTCTCTGGACCTCCAAATGTTGTTCTTCCTCCAAAGCAGGGTTTTTTTTTCCTGCAACACGAAGCTAATTGACAGAGAAGGGACCTAGCTATTGTATGAAAGCATATAAAAATGAAAAGACTGCTTAACTATTAACAGGTTTTCTCTTACAAAATAAATTTTATGTTCAGAGATAATTCTTGAAGAAACAACAGAAAATTAAGCAAACGATTTGACCACTGAAGCTACCTTCACCAAGGCAAGCTGGGTGCATATTTCTTTGCATACTTATTGCAGGTGGGGCTTCTTTGCCCTCTGGAATTAGATCTTTTACTTGCACTTACATCAGCACTTGATAATACATGTTTTTGATTTCTTTTTCTATTCAATTTTTTAATCTCCACTTTACCTTCCTGTGGAAGTAGCAATGATTTGTGGGAATACTGCTCATTGCCACGTTGCAGCTCCTCCTTCATTTTAGGACATATAACTCAGAAACTACTTGTCAAAGTGATTTTTTCCTAGGATTAGTCCTGGTCCTAGCTATTTCCTTAACATAACAATGGGTTTATTAGAGAATGGTCCAGCTTTACCTTGGCTTATAATCAGAAGCCTATTTTAAGTTTCAAGTGTCTTCAATATTGGACAATTATGGTCATTATGGGAAGAAGAGGGCAAAAGCTTTTAGTTGCAGAAACTACAATAGTCTGTTTCCAGTTCTAGTCTACAAGATCCTATAATATTAAGCAACTAGTGTGGATTTGATTATTTCATAATAAAGCTTGTTTTTTCAGAACAGAAAACAGAATTATCTTAAAGATATAAAACCTGCAGAGAGAAACCTTGCCAGAAACAGGCTACTATATTTAGTATTATAACTTTATAATATTTTACAAAGCTTGGGGGGGGGTCTAGTGTCTCTTACAAGTTTCCATTCCATGAATGTTTCATATCCCTCCCAAAAAGTCAATTTTGAAAGGACAGTTTGGCCTCTTCCATGAAATGTTAAATAAATCTAGGCCCTAAAGCTCTCTGGGTTGTGAGACTAAGAGGAATCAGGATGTCAGACTGAGAGGAATTAGGATTGAGCATTCACTGTGCACAACCCCTTTGAGGCAGGGAAGTAGCAACCATACATATTATTGCCCTACCATTAGAAATCCATTTCTTTAAGTCAAGCGTTCTCTGGCTGCATCCTAGAACTGCCAGGATGTCGGTGCCAAATACATAGTGCCAAAGCTCCATTGCAAGCGATTTAGTGAGTTGGTCTCATGGTGAAGGCCCGGTGAAGTTATTTTAAATAGTTTCTCAAATGTTTGTTAAGTACAGAGTTGAGGACCACTGCTTTAAGTTAATGAAAATGTAAAAAAAAAAAAAAACAATGCCCTTTACTTGAAGTGACCTGTTGTTTTCTGTCTTAATAAGATTTTGCTTAGTTGGATTGTTTTCATTGTAACTGTATGGATCAGTCTACTAAAGAAAGAATGTTGAGATATGGAAGAAAACTCCAAAAACAACAGTCTTGGAACAAAAAATAATACCCCTGCAAGCCTGTAGCCTGAGTAGTGAGGACAGCAACAGAACCTGGAGGAGGGAACTCAAAAAGAGACATAAAAGGAGTCAAAACTCTTCACTCCAGGACTTTTTCTTGTGATTTTTAAACATATGTGGGGTTAGATGAGGCACTGTGGGACCTCAGTGACATGAGTTAGAAACATGAGTTAGAATGTGACTGGGAGTAGGAGCAGGAAAAGTCAGTTGCGCTGTGGACTGAGTATGACCTCAGGCAGCTCAATGTATAATGTATGATTGAAAACTATGGTAAGTGTTTAAATAAAAAAAAAAACCTTACAGTAAAAGACACATTGCCATTAATCCCCCTCACAATACTCCCCCATCTTTGAACGCTTATCCCGTCATTATTTTCACTTTCTGAATCAGTTCTGGAAACCCCCTTTTGTGACTTTAGTTGTGCCATTGTGGCTAATATGATGTCCTGAATCAATTCAAATTATTTACTTTTGATGGTCATTTTGACTTTGGAGAAGTGCTAGAAGTTGCACAGTGCCAGAGCCAGTGAATAGAGTGGATGAAGACAACCCATGAAGTTTTAATGAAACTGCTTTTCTGTTGGATGGCATTTTGGCAGCAGCATTAACTGTGTTTTTATTATACCTCATAAAGACACTCAGTAGGACCTCCAGAACTGGTTTAGATAGTAGTAAGAATGTTGGGATAAGTGTACCCAAGGTGAGGGGAAGTACTTCAAGGGGATTAATGACAATATGTCTTTTACTGCAATAAAAATTTAAATTGAAATATTTATTATATATTTTGGTCCCTCCTTGACAAGATTCAAAGGAGTATGCTGTACCCACAATTGGTATAGTCAGGTGTAAGTATCTGAGAGGATGCATACCAGTGGTCTCCACTGCTGTAGGCATTAGAAATTGTGGAAGGGTGTGAATGTTAAAGTAAAATAGCCTATGGGCTTGTCCCTTAGATTATTATTTATTGAGAACAGTATCCTAGACAGCAGGAGCATGAGAAGCAGGATCCAGAGAATGAACAAGCAGAGTTATTAGGGATATAGACAAGTGGTCTAGCATTCAGAATCATATCTCTTGTCCCATTAGAAAACTGGAGATCAGGTCTGAAACAGCCAGAAACCAGTGGGTATGGATCAGGCCACCACTGCAGGGAGAAAGGTTACAACACACAGGGTAAAGCAAACTCCAAACAAAATCTGTAGCTGATTTTCCAGTTCCTCCCAACTAGTGGGACTGAGTCCTCCTGGTTGTTACTTATCTTGACTGCAAAGAACTAAAAAGGCACTGGGAATTTTTGTGTTACCTCATTTTAGAAGGACTGAGGAAGGCAGGCTTTCCCTATTTTGCTGTCTATGGGGCTACTTCTTAACAATGTGGGCCCCCAAGGAAACTGTCAAGAAAGAACTCTGTGACATTCACAGTACAATTTAAAGAGACCCTTTTCTTTGGGTGGGGCCTGGCAATACTTGGAAGTAACACAAATAGTGAAAAGTTTAGTTGTGTCCAGTCCGTTCACAGTAGCAATGACAGCATTCCCATGTGACAGTGGTTGTATTAATTGTAACTATGTTGGTGATAAGGGAGGAAGGGATGAGAAGATCAGGTTATAACTAGCTGGCAGGCCACTTCCATTTCTCATACATTAGTGTTTCCAATTAGGAAATATCACTTTTACCTTATTGGGGTTAGAGGTGGTGTCTTTCTTAGATATAGGTCTAGGACATGTTAAGGCAAGAGTAACAATACTACTACTTCTCCTACTACTAGTAGTGCTACTGCTAGCTGCGGACTCCTGGAAGGGGAAACAATGGAGGAGTTATTAGACATTTTCCAGAATGACAATTAAAAACAACCACAATACTGCTTTACATGTAAACAGTACCCTACAGTTTGCAAGGCATTTGCATATCATTACCTATTTCTCAACATTATTCAAAAAACACTTTTTTTTCAAGTTTTAACTATCTATGAATCTTACAGAAAGAAACAGATAGATGTAGACAATATAAACACCGTTAACTAAGAAAGGGGTAGTCTCAGAGCAGAGGGATTCATCCTATTCCAGATTCACATTTCCCTGAATGAGATTGGCAGTTACCTTTGATAAGCAAAGTCATATAACAGCGGTATTAATCAAACACCGAAGTCCTTAATTTACAGGCAGGGCTAGTGTATTGGATTATGTGGGCTGTGCCCTGTGTAAGGAACCTAGCTAAGTGGGCAAGAGGTACAAAGTCTAGTCCACACTCTGCTCCTCAAACCAGGAATTCTGTCTTAAATTTTCCATCAGACAGCACAAAAGAATGTTCATTCACTGAGCAAAAGAGATGTAGCATTACTTTGTTCTTGGGTCTGACTTTTTTCTCCCTTCTACAAAGGTGGCAGGAGGCCCAAGCTATGGCTCTTCAGAGAACTTTTCAAATGGTTATTTAGAACTCTCCTGCTTTCTCCTTGTTTTGCCAATCAGCCTTATGCTTTGCTGATTGTGATTTTTGTTGTTGTTGTTGTTGAAGCTTGTCTGGCTACTGGAGTATTTGGGACTTCCTTTAAGCCTTTCCTGAGAACCTTTTATTACAATATGACACAGTAAGAATGCCTTTTTTTCTTCCAAAATTAGATATATTACTGCACATTTGCTTGTGTTATAGAGTTGGCTGAATTCTTTCCATCAAAGATTCTTGTACACAAAATAAGAACAGTATTAAAGCAATGATGATAATTGTTAATATTTATTGATAGTTTATTATTTGGTAGTCATTTTGCAAGGGACTTGTATGCACAATTTCAATTCTTGTATTGCTCCTGTAAAGTAACACTAATTACTGTTTACCAACATGTTGGATAAGAATTCTGGGACTGAGGGTTAAATAATACATTCCACACTTAGCTATTGAGTACAAAAACAGGGATATGTATTCAGGTTGGTCTAAAGCAGTGATTCTTAAATCTAGGTGTGCACCAAAAATCTCCTAATGTCTTATTTAGACACAGTTTACTACCTCTTTTCCACAGAATTTCTTATTCAAGAAAGCTATAGTTGGGTCCCAGAATTTGCATTACTAAAAAATCCCAAAATAATACTGTTGGTCTAAGAGCCACACTTTAAGAACTGGTCTAATGAAAAAAATCTGTGATTTACTCTCTCCTGTCCACTTGAGGTGTGCTCCTATAGTACACTCAATAGAGGTCCTTTGTTTGATATATGGTGTACAATTCTGCTGTTCTGATTTTCTTTCTTATCTTTTGTCCATACTGATGAAATTTTTAAAATGCCACATGTGTTATCAGGTATATTTCCAAGAGCAATAATAATAGTCATACTAATAATACTGTGGCTACTGGCTTACACATAAGTAAATACAAGTGGTAAAATGATGGCTTGTTTTTATGAATAGGTCCATTACCAGTAATGATCAAATTACTGAAAACCTAGCACAAGAGGAAGAGGAAACTTCTGAACATCTAGACTACCTGCTCATAAGAGGCCTTATCAATATAGTAGTTTAGGAAAAGATGGTAAAAACCTACATTGTTGTTTGCTTGTTTGAGACAGAGTCTTGCTCTCTGATTCAGGCTGGTCTTGAATTCATGATGTAGCTAAGCTTCTTTGTTCTCCTATTTTAAGAAATTTTTGACCAGAATAGTTCAGTAAGGAATGGGAAATAGGAGTTGAATGACTCTGGATTTTGTTTTCCTGCAGTTTTATGATGTTTCCTGTTAAAAGCAGAGAGAGAGAGAGAGAGAGAGAGAGAGAGAGAGAGAGAGAGAGAGAGAGAGAGAGTCCTAGACAACCTGATATAGTCAGCCCCACTATGAAGACAGCTGTGAGATTCAGGTAGCCAAGATAAAGTGAAAATATAATATTTTGGGGAGATACAATTTTAGGAAGGTTTATTTTTTGGTCCTTGTTTTAGCTATCAAATAACTTGACTGAAAACAATCACAATGGAAACTTATGAATTAGTATCACTTGTTGAGCCATGCCTTATCTGAGATTAAATGTTTCTGTATACTAATCCTTTGCTGACAATAACTTTCAGGTCAAATCACATTTTAATGAATGTAATTTTAAGATAATAAAGCTATTTAGCAAAATCATTTTGTAGAACGGATGCATCCATAAATCCCTGTTCATGAAACATTTAATCTATTAAATTAAGATGATGTTTTGTGAATTCAGTATTTATGCTTTTCACCTTATGTTCAATGTTAAGGTCTTGTCATCAAAGAATAGAGAATTTCATGTTCATTTCCTCTGAAACTTCCATGTTTTTCATCCAAAATATGAGGACAAATTGGGCTAGATGCAGTCAAAGTGTCTGTCTGGTTATAACAAATTCGACCATTTATCTGAACTGTCATCAGTGTGAGCTAATGAAAGAGGAATTAAGAGGATGAATTCAGGTTGAGGAGTCAGGTCTTGGAAAAATTGATGACAACCGGCATTAAAGAGAAGCCTGGCAATGTCTATCTGTGAAAGAGTGTCATTTCCAATGGTTCCTTCATCTTAACAGTACAAATACACACATGTTTCACGTTTGAAGGAACCCATGAAGAATATACAAGTGAACACCTACTCATCCCAGATAATTTGTTAGCATTCAAACATTCATCTAAATAGAAATTGTGTACAAAATACATACCAGAACACAGAGCTAAATAAGACACAGTCTCTGACCACAAGATGCCTACAGTTTCATAGTAGAAGCTCACAGGAACCGTAAGGATAATGGTTATAAGTTCTACGATAGGTGTCAGTTCCAGGTTAGGAAGGAGCTCTAATCCTATATCACAGGTCAGTTCCCCTGGAAAATAATTTGTCAGATGAAGCTTTGAGTGTCGGAAGCTTATTGTGTGAGTATTTTCAAGGGTAACACTATGAAGGAAAGAAAAAGATGGGGTTGGCAGAGAGTAGTACAATCAGAATGGTAAGCTAATGCATTCTTGAGGATGTTGTGCTAGAATGACCCTTATTATTGTCCAGAACTGAATTAAGTCTGGAATGTTGTAGCGGTATGTTGACAAGTCATTAAGTGCAGGCTAGCTCAGAAAAAGGCTACAATGTGATAAGAATTGTTCAATATCCATTTCACCGGGGGGGGGGAACCCCTAATTTGTTATATTTGCTGATTTTCATAGTGTAATATCTTTATCATGGCCTATTTCAAGCTATCAACATGGCATTCACTCCTTAAAGAATCTCTGAAAATTTAAGTATAACCTCATGTGAATCAGCCCAAGCCAGCTCCAGTACACTGCTGAAGGGAAGTGACTTTGAGAGTAGTAGATCTGTCTCTTCAACTGAGGACAATTCTCAGCGAGGCATTAGTTATTATTTGCTAACATTCCTAGCAGCAAGAGGCATGAGTGCTTGTCTTGAAGTGTGTACTGTATCTTGATGGTACAGCATAATAGCACCCGCTACACTCACTGAAGTATTTGTTGCATTTCACTTAATACAGAATGCTTAGTTCTAGTTAATTTTTTCTATTCAGAAAAGTAATTTTAATATCCCTTGAGGAAATTAATCAGAATTTTATTGCATAACCTTGATCATGTCATTTAATCACTGTGTTTGTAGAAGAAATATGCTATTACGCACTTGCCAGGAATACTGTGGAGTCAACTGGCCAGCTATCAGCAGCACATGACGCAGATCATTTCGCCCCCTCAAAAGACCTGTGACTGAATGACTTTGACCAAACTGATTCATGTTTCATGATGTAGTCAAATATAGAAAGGGTGATGCATTCAATTCTCATTTTTCTTTGTAACTCTTGCCTTGTCAACCTTTTCTATTACTACATCTTCCCATTTTACAATGTGGGATTATGAATAGTTGAGTCTGAATTCCTTGCATTGCTCATGAACTATGTGCAAAGAATCTGGAAATGATTTTACAGAAGACCTGAGTAGCTGGGTACATGTAGGTCCTTAGGGTAATTATTTCAAAGGAGCTAATTTTCATTTGAAAACTGAAATTATATTGTAATTGTGTGTAGGGGGTATGGTGCCCTTAAATCAACTTTATAACGTATTAGTTACACTTTTAAAATGAAGGATATCAGCTGTAGTTTGAAATGAAAACTTTCTGGGGATATTTAACAAGTTTAAAGAAGGTATTTTAAAACAGATAAAGCAATATGTAAATGCCAAATACCAATCATTGAGCATAGTTAAGCGTACTTAGTTTCTGAGATTAAAAGTTCTGTATAAGCATGTGTAATTAATATTTACTAATAGCAATAGGACTTTTGCCTTTCTTCAAGGAGCTCAGACTACTCACCAGGCATTATCTAATTAAACCACTCAATGTACCTGTAAAATGCATTGGAATCTACATTTTAAGATGTGGGCACTGAAGCACAAATGGGCTTAAACTAAACTCATTTAGCATGTCAAGGACGAAATTGGATATGGCTTTCAGTCTCATGGTCTAGCTGCTGTTCTTCAACCATGGGCCCCTTTAATCCACACTATTCTAGCTCAGCCTTGCCAAACAGCATAGTTTCATAAGTCTAGGAAGTATTAAATTGAGTGCAAAGTAATTCCAATTATAGAAAAGTTAGATTTAAGAAGTTGAATATGTCATCCATAGTAGCAGCATTTATAGAAGTGTGTGTTGGTGGCATTCATTATGTATAATGGCCTAGTTAAAGGTGAAAACAGTTGGTCAAGATAGCCTGGATTACCTGTTTGTATGAAGTGGGCAATAAAAATGACAGTGGCTGTGGGAATCTCTCATCCCCTCCTTGTAGTCTTTCTATTGTTAGGTATAAGCATAACTACTGTTTATTATATGCTATGTACTAAAGAATTTATGAGTTGTTTCTTGACTAATCACTACTTCTCCATGAAGTTTTTATTGGTACCTCTGTTTTACGGAAGAGCTAGAGTGAGATTAATTAATTAGCATATACATCTGCCCCTTCCAACTTCAAAGTTACTTTGTGATGCTACCTCCCATTTATTATACTATTTTTTATTCCTGTTCCATGTTAGTCTCATTAACCTGTAGATAAATAGCTCTTCTTGCCATGTTCAGTCCAGACCCTAGCACATACATTAGTCTTAGCTCAAGACATCAATATCTTGTCATCTAGTAGGCATAGGAAAGTAATTATTTACAAATTAATTAGAACTCATATATTTACCTGTCTCCTCTATAGTTTGTGACACTATGTCTTATCAACTTAACTTTGTTGGTTTCAGTAATCATCATGTGTATGCATTCAGCCTTGATTGGAGGAGAGACCCAGATGCATCTCTTGGAATGGGCTCACGATCTGAAAATGACAGATGGAACTTATGTCTTTGTTCCATATGATGCCCTGCTTTACAGCTTGCCTTATAAGCAAACCCAATACCAGGTCCTAAGGAACAACCCAAGGCTGCAGGAAGCCTATGATGCTGTGTTAACCATTACAGTGGAGTCCCAAGAAAAGACCTTCTATCAAGCTTATACAGAAGCAGCAGTCAAAGGTGAAATTCCTGAGAAGCTGGAATTAGATCAAGTAAGTGCAAGTCATCTTGAGCTGAGAATATCAAAATTGGAAAAAGTAAATGCTTTGTTCGCTTTCAATGAGTCCTATTCTTTAGGAAACCAATCAGTAGGAGGCAACACCACACAAATTTAAAAAGCACCTTTTGTTTGCACTTATAGAATAAAAAACACTTAAAGAACAAAGAGATAATGTGAAAATTTCTTTTGCAAATATAAGCAACCCATATCAAAAGTGTACAGTCATGAAAAATAAGTACAGTACATTTAAAAACAGGGAAACACAACTTTAATACATGCCAGTGCTGTCCAAAGAGGCCTAATAAAACAAAGTTTTATACATTTTTTAAAGTTCTAAACTAATATGACAATAAGATAAATAGACACTACAGAAGAAAACATCACCATTAGTATTATTATCAATACAAGTATTGGAGAAGTGCCTTCTATCGGCTTGGATCTGAGGTTCCAATTATTGAACCTGAGCATTACTCAGACTTCTCTGCATAGTCACTAGCACTGCTGGACCAGTGGAGTCCTGTTCCATGCTACAGGGCTTTTGTGATGTGTACAGTCTGAAGGAACATAGCAGAGCACATGCATCCTGTTGGTAGCCCACTCCCACTTCATTTGTAGAGAAGAATGAGTAAGTAGGTGAAGGGAAGGTCCAAGAGCTTTTTTTTTTTAGTACAGCTACCATAATATGAAAGGAATAATTTGGAATGAGAAAGAAGTCTTCCCTTTTAATTTATAAGAATAATATTTATACATGTACAGGTGCATGTTTGCATTGGAATATTTCAGGTTCAAGTAACAGCCACATAAGGCCCAGAATGAGAGTAGGAAGAGGGATAAAGCAAGGAAAAGAATGGAGAACAAAGACAAGAGCCAAGAGAAAGGAAATGAAGACAAGGAGTAGAAGGAAGATGGGGAAGTAAAAGAAGTCCATTAAATGAGGAAAAAAGACATGGAAGTTTCTATACATTAGTGTTCAGAAGTGGGTGGTGGAAACATTCATAAATACTTAGAATTATACAAAAATAAGTTTAAAAATTTGAGCATTTGCTCTCATACTCAACCAATACTATTTATTCTCATTATAGCTCAATTCAAATTAGCCTAAATAACAATGTATTTCCAAAATCTGAAGTTGGGGGTGCAGGGTCAGTTAATTCACATTGATGTCACCAATGAACTCCGTTATTTCATCTTTACAGCTTACAGGCCACACTATGTTAGCTTTCCCGCATGAGCTGATTCCTAGTCTCATCTCAACATGGCTGCTACAGTTCCACATATTACATGAAGGTGAAAATGGGACTGTATTTCTCATGTGTCTCTAAGAGTGAGGGAATCTTTCTGAGAAGTTCCTCAGCTCCACTTCTTACCACCACCACCTTCCTGATCACAGTTGTGCCCCATCCCCACACCGAAATGAATAATCTGGAAAGCGGAGGAATGAGACTACTATCATTTTCTGTATAGCTACTAGAAAACTGAGGTTCTGTTCATGAAGAAGGCTGCCAGTCAGGCTTCCAGGTAGTCTACTGCTCACATCATCCATGATGTTCTTCTCTATCCACCTTTTATTTCTTCATCTAGTAGGCTACATCTTTCTCTGAATAAGTTATTTAGATGAATCTTAAGAGAATCAAGTATCTCTTCCTGACCTAATAGCAATGATTTTGTTGATTATTGTTACAGTAAGAAAATAGACCCCTTGAGATAATAACAGTGCTAGATTTGAACTTTATTACTAATGTTATGCTTGTACACCTCTCTTTCAGACATTCATGTACACATATCTCTCTCAGCCACATATGCACATATATAGATGAAAACAACTTGTTAATTTTGTTAAGAATTGTAAGAATTAATCAATCAAATTGCTAAGAATACTTGGACAAACTGTTGTTTGTGTTGTAATTATAAGCAAGTAACCAGGTTGTGAATTTTTGTATTTTTATCTGATAATATTGCATTATATAAATATAGTCCAAATCATCTTTCTGCTTTAATCATAGGATGGAGGGAAGGAGGTATCTGTGTGTGTATATGTGTGTATGCATTGTATGTATGTATGAACAGGAATATTGGTATAAAAACTCAGACCTTGTACTCTTGATATTTGATTCAATCCCTTCGAGATTGTGGAAAACATAGGGTAATTAAGGCAAAAAAGATGCCATTAGCTTGGTTGCTAGGCAGCCTGCATTCTGCTTTAGACAAGGTAATAGAGCTACAACAAAGAATACAGAGCTTTTTTTTTTTTTTAAAGCCAGCTTGGATGCATTTCTATCACCACTTTGAAGGTTCCTAGGTTAGACCTTCATAACCAAAGAATGATAGAAGGTGAGACAATTATCAGTCTCTGATAAACAAAGTCATTATTTTTTAAATTACTCTTCTCATAGTATTTTTGAAGGCAGCTGGTATAGCAGAAAAGCAAATGATGAAGAGCTAGACAAAATTAAGTTTAAGTTCTACCTCTTTGGGGAAATGTTGATCAATAAAGGCTAACTCACAATTGGATGGAAGTAAGGTAGGGGAAGGAATTTTAAATATTTTCATCATTTTGAAACGATGGATATTGAAGATCTAGATGTATTTACCCTGAATAAAATTTACACAATATATGCGTGTGTCAGAATATGACATAGTGCCAAGTAAATGATTTTATGTTTTTATGTATCATTTAAAACTAAGTTTAAAAAGTAAATCCTTGTTCTTAGTATTACTAGTTTGCACAAATTGCTTGGAGTTATTTTTCATTTTTTTCAGTCTGTAAAATGGGAAGCTATAACTTTTACAATTATGGTGAGGATTAAATAAATTAACATGTATAAAAGAATGACAAGAGTGAGCTGCAAAGCTGACTTGTTTTTCACTTATTCTGCCTTGAGACCATGGAGGCTGTCTTGGTTTGATTGTGACCCAGCATCTAAGTTACAATTTGACTTCAGCTTACTATAGTCTTGTTTTTTTAACTACTTAAAGTGGAACTCTTAGTATTTCCAGTTTGCAAAAATTATTTTGCTTTCATAATTTTAAATGCAATTTTTTCAGATGAAATTTTAGCACCTCGAGTTTCTGTTGTTTTAATTTTCCTTTCAATTCAACAGGTAAACAACAATTTATTGAGCACGTGAGCACATGTCCTATGCTAAGATACTATGATCAAACTCCAGAAAGAGGAGTAAACAAGACAGGCAAAGTTTCTGTAGGTGATTTTTTTTTTCCCGGTACTGGCAATCAAAATCAGGACCTTGTGCTTACCAAGCAGGCATTTGTGCCACTGAGCTATCTCCTTGGCCCTGTCAATGGTGTGCTGAAGCCAGTTCACCAAAGCCGTTTGAGGAATCTTTTATGAACTCTTCATTCAGTGATATCATCTTTAAAACTCAAAATCACATATGGTAGAAGTAGTTATGTGACTGCAATTGGCAAATACTAGAAATGGGTTTTTGCTTTCCTGTCCACAAAGATGTTCCTAAATATTTACTAGCATCTCACTTGTTCCTACACTTCATGGGGCTTCAATTCTAGTGAGATTGATAGATAAAAATGAGTAGGCAAATGTATTACTAAAATGGCTATAGTATTACTGTCTTGCTCACTAACTTTCAAAAAGAAATTGAAATTTCTATACACAGGTGATATTGCCTCTAGCAAGGACATGTAACCTCTCTTAATTTATATACTTACTTCTTTAAAAAGTAAAGAAAACAAAGAAATAAACAAAAAAATGTTAAAATGATGCATGTACCACATTGTCTTAAGTCAAGAAATGTTGGAGACAGAAGTCTCCAGGTAGCCTTCCTACCCTTTATCAAAAGCATTTACCTTTATGTCTTCACTCTTTAGGGATTCATTTGTACGTTTCTAAACATAACACTCTAGTTTCTCTTGATGAATTAATTTTGGACATTTTTTACCTATCATAGTTGAGGATTTTTACTTCTTTGCCTTCCTTCAAATTCTCAATATGGTTATGCCATAGCTTATAGTTAAATTGATATTTAATATTTTCACATAGGGCTATTTAAATATCTTTTCATATGGATCCAGGTAATAAATTATGACTATAATTTATGTTATGTGTCTCTTGATTTTTATTACTAAATAATTGCTTTATTTTTAAATTTATTTTAATTTCAATTTCTAAGTTTGCCTATATTTTTGGAAAAGTCTCAAACATTTTATAAATAGTAAAACTTCTTAAATATTTTTCAATTTTGATTTTTGTCAAGGCTATCTGCCTTTGTCTTCTACTCTAAACTTACTTTCTTTAAGAATGCTGCAAAACTTTTATGCTGGGTTATCCATTTTCATCATCATGATAATTCTCTTCCCTATTGGATCCACTATTTTATCAATCTCACTACTTCCATTTTCTTCAATTATTCTTTCATTTTGGGCTGCAAATCCTCTAGCAGCTTCTGAGAAATGTACACTGGAGGCAATTTTTTTAGATACCAAATGTGTGAAAAGACATTATGCCATCTTCATTATTTCTAGTATGGTTAGCATATAAATCTAGATCAAAAGTCATTTTTCCTCACTTCTTTAAGACATGGCATATTTTCTTCTAATTTCCAATGTTGGAGTTGAAAATACCAATGTGCTTTTTATTCCTAATCCTTTAATTCAATCTGTTTTCATTTCTCACCACCCCCAATAATTTCTAAAGATGTTTTTATTTATTTCTGATGCTATGAAATGTCATATTGATGTATAACTTGACACAGTTCATACTGTACACTTGGTGGTGCCTTTTGATCTAAAAGCGCATTACAGGTGAGAAATTTTCTTGTTGTACTTACTTTATAATTTCTTTAATTACTTGTGTTTATTCTTTTGGAAATACTATTTTTTTGGAAATACTATTGAATGTAGGTGTTCCCGTGTTTACTTTTTATTTTCTTACTATTTCTCTTGTATTGTTGATACGTTTTTAGTTTTCATTTCTTCTTGAATTTCTTGGCATTGTGTTCTAAATCACTTATTAATTAC